ATCTCAGTGCCATGTCCTGGAGACTCTTTTGGTGGGATCTCAGTGCCATGTCCTGGAGACTCTATTGGTGGGATCTCAGTGCCATGTCCTGGAGACTCTATTGGTGGGATCTCAGTGCCATGTCCTGGAGACTCTATTGGTGGGATCTCAGTGCCATGTCCTGGAGACTCTTTTGTCGGGATCTCAGTGACAGGTTCCAAGGTCTGCAGTCCGCTTGTGCCTGTTATAAGTCTCTCCCAATATCCCTGCTGGGTTTTTATTTATCTTATATTATGTAACAGAAGGAGCTGGAAAACACTAATGTGGACAGGAACACCCAAAAATCCTAGATGCTGGAATGATGGTAGGGAGATGTCGCTGTTGGAATATAAGAAGCCAGGGTCTGACTACCTAAAATTAAAATGTCTCCTCTAGGGCTGCAACAACTAATCGACATAATCGATTATAATCGATTATTGAAAAAGTTGTCAACTTTTTCAATAATCGATTAATCGGCTTCCGATCAGTTGGCCCTGTTCATAAAAAGTTGAAGGACTAAAGTTTGCAAAATTAAAACTTAGCAGAAAAGATGGTCTTCTGTAAAGGAGGAGCCACTGCCACGGGTCAGATTTCTGGTACCCAGCTGAGCGCTGTGGTTCCTTCTGCTGGCGCCTATGTAATTGTGGGACAAAGTTATGATGTAGTGACCAGCAGAAGGAGCCACAGGAAGCAACCAGGAACCCAACACTCTTGGAAGTACGATGGAGGAAGAGGATTCTTCTGGCACTGTAGCTCATAGTAGTAGTAAAGATCTGAAGCACGGGGCAGAATTTACCTTCAACACAGGAAACCATGTCAACCTGTTTCTCTGTAGTGGTCCTTCCAAGCAAAGGTGTTAAAGGGAAAGTTTACCTAGAACTTGTGTTGAATGATGAGTCTACCCTCATCATCCAGCACACGTCTGAGAGTTGTCAAATTTCTGGTCTCCAGGTGGGATGTGGTTCCTTCTACTGGTCCATTCATTATTGCAGGACATAGTTCTGATGAAGGCACCAGTGGAAGGAGCCACCAGAAGCAACCACAAACCCAACACTCTCAGATGTGTGATAGAGGAAAAGGATTCTCTGGGCACTGTAGCTCTGGGTAATGAAGATCGGAGACAAGGATCAGCATTTACCTCCAAGAAAGTAAATAGAGTCAGCCTGTTTCTTTTTATTGGTCCATCCAAGCAAGGCAGTTAAAGGGAAAGTCAATTAAGATCTGATATTTCAGTTCTTGGTAGATCCTGGAAAGTTAAACCATCTGACTGACTCTTCCATGCCTGGAGATTCTATTGGTGGGATCTGAGTGCCATGTCCTGGAGACTCTATTGGTGGGATCCCAGTGCCATGTCCTGGAGACTCTATTGGTGGGATCTCAATGCCATGTCCTGGAGACTCTATTGGTGGGATCTCAGTGCCATGTCCTGGAGACTCTATTGGTGGGATCCCAGTGCCATGTCCTGGAGACTCTATTGGTGGGATCTCAATGCCATGTCCTGGAGACTCTATTGGTGGGATCTCAATGCCATGTCCTGGAGACTCTATTGGTGGGATCTCAGTGCCATGTCCTGGAGACTCTATTGGTGGGATCCCAGTGCCATGTCCTGGAGACTCTATTGGTGGGATCTCAATGCCATGTCCTGGAGACTCTATTGGTGGGATCTCAGTGCCATGTCCTGGAGACTCTTTTGTCGGGATCTCAGTGACAGGTTCCAAGGTCTGCAGTCCGCTTGTGCCTGTTATAAGTCTCTCCCAATATCCCTGCTGGGTTTTTATTTATCTTATATTATGTAACAGAAGGAGCTGGAAAACACTAATGTGGACAGGAACACCCAAAAATCCTAGATGCTGGAATGATGGTAGGGAGATGTCGCTGTTGGAATATAAGAAGCCAGGGTCTGACTACCTAAAATTAAAATGTCTCCTCTAGGGCTGCAACAACTAATCGACATAATCGATTATAATCGATTATTGAAAAAGTTGTCAACTTTTTCAATAATCGATTAATCGGCTTCCGATCAGTTGGCCCTGTTCACGGCTCCACACGCTGTGCGCCGTACCTCCTCCCCACCTCACGCTCGCCGCTGCCAGACCCGCCCGCATCCATGCTCCACACGCCGCACACTCACCGCCCACCCACATCCACGATCGGCACACCTGCTATTATGTACTATTGCTGGGATTTGTAGTCCTCTGTAGCTGGTGGTATTCTGCATTCATTGCTGTATAATTTTACACTTTCCATTTCACTATGTTGCACACCACACTATCTTTCTTTTTTACTTCCACCGCTCCAAGCTTGCTCCTGTGATGGACTACAACCTCAATACAAACTAGTAGTCCCATCACTGGAGCCTTTTTTTAAACTTTATTTTATTGTTTATCCGATTAATCAAACCTAATAATCGGCTAACTAATCGATTTTGAAAATAATCGTTAGCTGCAGCTCTAGTCTCCTCTATAAGGACCCTTTAACAAACCTATCAGATAACATTTTAGTACGAGTGCACTTTTATGGCGAAGAGCAGTAGATCAATAAGTATTTTTGCATGGCCTCTTGCAGCGTCACACGTCATGTGACCCGCCCCCCTGGTAAGTTACCCTACATGTTTATCACTTTGCAGGAATGTAACGGGAACAGCTTACAGAATGTAAATGACTTTGTGGGCTAGTGGTCTAGCTCCATTTCTATTTGCAGAAGTGTTCAGCTATAATATCATTATTTGAGCACTTAAGTCGACTCATGGCTCACAAGCTTCACAATCATTTCCAATGGCTTGGATGGTCTCCAGCTACGCAGTAACGCTTTGAACCTGAAATTGATCGCTCCTTCTGCTGCCACTATGCAAAACAACGTGTCCCGAATTTACACCGAGACCGCCGCTTTCCCTTCATATCTTCCCAGCACTCGTTCTAGAAAAACTAGACACAGGATTGGCATTTCAGTATATTACAGGACAACACCAGACCATTTAAGAATAGGGAGAGTGGTTTTAAAATGAGTTGCTGTTTAAAGTCACTACATACAACAAAGTAGATGTAAGCCATGTAAAAAGCAAAATCTTGTATAATCGTTAACATATTTATGCGACGTCCTTTTCAGTATTTTTAAATCTGCAGTTTTATTAAGACCAGGGCTGAAAATTTCAGGTCCTGAGCTACTAGCCAGGCCTTCGAAGTTACTCGCCACCAGTTGCCCTTCATAAAACAAACAAACACACACAGCACAACACACATACAGCCACAGCACAACGCACAGGACATTACACATACACATTTCATCTGAAATACATTTTTAGTATTCGCACATGTCTAATAATATGCATGTGAGGGGGGGCGGGGGGCAGTTTTTACTATTTTTAAAATATTTTTTTATTATTGTTTTATTATTTTTTTTATTTTTATTGTATTATTTAATCGGTAAATATCAATGATATTTACCCATCCCCCGCTCTGCCTCGCACAGAGCCGCTGTCATCCTGAAACTGACAGGATGACAGCGGCTCCGCTCTCCTCGCCACTCGGCCATCCTGACACCTGCGAGCGCGGCTTCTCTCCCCCTCGGGGCGGCTTCTCTCCCCCTCGGGGCGGCTTCTCTCCAGCTCGACCATCCTGATAGCAGGCAGCGCTCCCTCCTGAGACCCCGGACGGACGGACGAGGGAGCGATGTCATCATGTCGGTGAGGCGGAGAGAAGCCGCCCCGAGGAGTGCCTGACTATATGGCTTCATTTCCACTCGCCCCCACGCAATTTTAACTCGCAATTTGCGAGGGGGCGAGTGGAAATTTTGAGCCCTGATTAAGACAATACCCTGCTATGAAGGTCTTTGTTCAGACACTTCCTGTTATAGGGTGACAACAGGCATCTGTCACTGTTTCCCAGTTGTGCTTTTGTGTTGTCACCCTGTACCATGCTCCCCAATGGAATGGTGCTGCCGACATACATGACACATAATCCTCCATGACAAATGCCATGTAGCCATCGCCTGAGTGGATATAGACAGGAAGAGGCTGCATATAATGAATAAAAAGCAAAAACTTATTTTATTTTAAAAAGGCAATTTTATATCATATACAGTGTTTAAGCAAACTAAACATTATCACAGTTACGGTGTTTGTCTACTATTTGCATCTACAAATAAGCAGCTTCTCAGTACCAAACACCTTCAAAGACTGTGTGGCTGAGCTTCCTTCACTCCCTTTCTGCTACAGCATGTCACTAAAGGTGCCCATATACTGCTCGATTCTCGTACGAGAATCGGGCGAAATCCCGCGATCGTACGAGAATCGAGCAGTGTGAACGAAGACGTGCGACCGTTTCTAACGTACGGTCGCACGTCTTTTGTCGAACCAACATGCTCGAAAACCCGCCGAGAATCGTACGATTGTCGGCGGGTTTCTAGCCTGTTCGTCCAATAGCTGCGGAACGGGCCGGTGTGCGCACGCGCACTCTGCCCGTTCTGCATTGTGGTCATCGGAAGCCCGCCCCTCAGCGGGGCGGGCTTTCGATGATCGCAAGTACGATCTGCCCGTCCAAGGTGGGCAGATCGTACAAGCTTTCAATAAGCATACGACCATCGCAAGACAAAAGTCTTGCGATGGTCGTAAGGTGTATGGGCACCTTTAAGATGGGAGGCCATGCATGCAGCAGCAGCAGCGAAGAGACGAATGGGAACTTAACTTAACTTGCGCTTTGGGAACGTATTTTTTATAGAATTCTGATTCAGGCCTACTCATCATCATGACATCACAGCTCACAAATCATCTCAGTGATGTCACTAGCTGTTTGTGAGTCATTAAGCTGTATCTGCTTAGAAGACATCATGTACTTGTCCACTACATATAGACAGGTGTCCTTTAAATCCATTACATTTTTTGGGTAGTTGATTACTTGTTGTTTTTGCTGTATAAAATATTTTGTCCCTTTTTTATACCGTTTGATCTTTTTCTTCACTAACTTCCACCTCCTTCTTCTTTGCAGCCTACTCAACACCCAGCACTTCCCCAGCAAACCGATTTGTCAGTGTTGGACCTCGAGATCCTGGCTTTGTAAATATTCAACAACAGACTCAGGTGAGTGATACTGAACTCTTCTGGCTTGTGCCTGTACCTTGTGCGTGTTACTTTCTCAATAGGACAAGGAGTGGGTGAGGAAATATGCATGCAGTTCATACACGGGTTGGCATGACTAAGGAGGCAGAGTTGAGACTCTCTAGAGCCTGGGTGCCCAACCAGTGGCCTTTTGTAGTGGCCCGTTGACCTCCTCTGCCCTAGAGATTGTAGCCTTGAGAAAGGAGTCCTGCAGGGTAAACTTCAGCATCTTGCAATGGTGACACTAAATGGAAACAAAAAATGATTTGCATCGAATGCTGCTCAGAGAATCGCAGATGATTTTAGTGCCACAATTGAGCTACAAAAATTGCAGGTGAAGCTTTAAGTGGATCCATTCTTTCAATTCAGGGCAAAGCAAAAATATTTGCTTCATTCGCCAACCGCTTCCCAGTATATACTTCAATTTCCTTCCCTCCCCCAACTCTGTTCAGCCAAAATATCCCAGTATTTCCATGTATTGAGGAACATGTAACATACTACATGTGACGGCGCTGGGCCAATCAGTACTATCCACTGGGGAGCTCCTAGACCTCTGCAAGCTTTAATTTCAGCTGCTAAGCGTGAAGGAAGGTCCTATGTGCTGCGGGGGAGGGCTAAGATAAAGGGGACTTGTTGTTTTGCCCTGTCACTATTATCCTAAATCCTACTTTTAGACTTAAAGAAAATAAATTCTCCCTACACACATGCTCTTGCCTATTTTGCTGTCTTAAACCCAGATATATGATGAGCAAACCTCTGAGATACTGAGAACATGGCATCCCACCAGCCAGTCATATGACCAGTTACTGCGGTGTCACGAAGCAGCATTCTCTCCAAGAGGGGTAAATATTTTGAGGGTTCTCTTGGTGTATTTGAATTAATGACATGCTGGCACTGCTGGTCTCTTTCTGCAAATCCTTAACCGGCTGGCCGCTTGCTTCAGTATTTTTTTGAGCCACAGACCAGCAGCAAGTACTCAGATCAGGAAATCTGCATTCATGCTGTAAATTACTCAGAGTATCGAGAAAAGAGGATCAACATGACAACCAGGACACTTGCATTTCTACACTGTACGTCCTCTTTAATGCTTATTGTAGCAACGGATTTCACCGCACTTTCCACGTTGCAAACATCTGGTATGAATACAATAAGAAGAAAAAAAAATAGATACAAATACAAACGTCTGTTATAAAGCATGTATTCAGATTTTACGTAATGTTTGGACAGAATACTTTAAGCACGAGCACATATGTAATCTGTTCCATATAAATTTCCACAGTGGTCTGCGTGCCCCGGTGCATGTGTCAGTAAAAGGAACCACATCGTCACAAAACACCCCGCAGCTCCTGAGCCGTGACCGATTTAACTAGCCGAGGCAAAGCACCTGTCATCCCTCCCCCCCAAAAAAAATCTCACCCCCAAACTTGGCTTACAGTTTAACTGAAGCCGAAAGTTTTACTTTAGTTTTGGATAGAGTAAGGAAGGAGCGAGGGAAAGTCCTTAGTTTGAATATGTCACCAGAACAGGAATAGAGGGGAAATCTTCCAAAGGGAACACCTGTGCCAATGAAAGCTAAGAGGAGATTTGCCTCACTTTGTAGAGATTTCCTTCACTTCCTGTTGTAGCTATGGGACAGAAAGTGAAGGAAAATCTCCCCCAATGGGACACGGGTGGCAAATCGAGCCTGAAAGGGGTTTCAACCATTCTGTACTTTAAATTGAAACAAAGTTTTGGCTTCAGATATATGTTAAACTGCACCATAGTCTAATAAATGTATATTCTTTAGGGATGTCCCGATGCCACTTTTTCAGGCCCAAGTACAAGTACAAGTACATCTCCTCGTGTACTTGCCGATACCAATTACCGATACTTTTTCTTAAAGGGACAGGTGACTTTAAATGATCCATAGTACAACTGCATGTTATGTACTATGGATCATGGTTTAACCTATTCATGTTAGCAGCGGAGAATTGTAACTCTATTGCTGGAGTGTAGTGGAGGTGTGTGCTGTATATGTGTACTACATATACATTACACACATCCAGTACACTATAGCAATAGATTTACTGCCAGCCCTGTCCCAGCTTCCCTTACTCACAGTTTCACTCTGATCGCCATAGCCTCACGCGGTGCCTCTCGTAGTCGGCGCTGGACAGGATCGCTGCATCGCATCTCGGTGCTCAGCTTGTGGGAGGCGCTCACAATTCTGCCCTGCTAACATGAATGGGTTAAATCATGATCCATAGTACATATACAGCACATACGTCCCGTACACTGCAGTAATAGTTACAATTATCCCCTGCTAACATGAATAGGTTAAATCATGATCCATAGTACATAACATGTAGTTGTACTACGGATCATTTAACCCATTCATGTTAGCAGGGGATTATTGTAAATCTAATGCTGCAATGTACGGGACATTTGTGCTGTATATGTACAGTACATATAGATATACAATTCTGCACTGCTAACATGAATGGGTTAAATGATCCGTAGTACAGGGCTACATATCATGTACTATGGATCATTTAACCCATTCATATTAGCAGAGGATAATTGTAAATCTATTGTTCAGTGCATTCTATATGTAGTATATAGTACATGTACATATAGAGTGCCTGCAACAATACATTTACAATGATCCTCTGCTAACATGAATGGGTTAAATGATCCATAGTACAGGGCTACATACAGATCATTTAATCCATTCATGTTAGTATAATTGTAAATGTATTGTCTGCACTGTATTAGCAGTATATACTCTATATAGAGTATATACTGCTAATACAGTGCAGACAATACATAATTGCTTAATAAATCTCCCCCCCAAATCTGCCCTCACTCACTGTGTGACTGTGCCGGAGAGAGCAGGGACGAGTCAGCGGCAGCGCTGGTCCAGTGGGAGGAGCTCCAGGTGGGGTCCTAATTTAGCTGGCTTAGAAGTGCCTGCCAGCTAAATTAGAACCCCACCTGGAGCTCCTCCCACTGGACCAGCGCTGACTGGCCGCTGCAGGGTTTTTTTTCTTCTTCTTCTTACTTACCTCGCCGATCGTCGCGGCCACCTAAATTAGGAGACTGCCAGATGACCCCGCTCTGAGCGCCGCCCACCGGAGCAGCACTTCATGGGGAAGACCATAAAATCTATTCACCTTCATTTGTGTCATGGATAATGGATCGTGTAGAAAGAAGTCACCACTCTAAGCCTGTGTGAAAATCCTCTGCCTCTGCAACTCTGGGTGCTAACCATAGAAAGGCCAACCATGGTCTATGAACTCCGTCCCTCACACCTTAATGGTGGAATGTAGAAGTGCCTATTTAATGGCTGGAAAGAATAAATGATACATTATTCATAAGGAAAGCAGGACATTGCACAATGATGACGTCGGGTCACATTCAACTTTATTGAACCCTGACAAAGCACACTGCAGGCCCACCTAGGACCTCCCCCTCTAACATTTTAGCCAATATTGGCTTGATCACCAAGAGGTGATCAAACTTGATTGTACTTCATGAATAATGGATCATTTATTCTTACTATCCATTGGATAGGCATCTCTACATTCCACCATTAAAGTGTAATCGAAAGTGTAATTTTTTTTAGTTGTGGAAAAAAACAGTACATCCCTTACATCTCAGACCACCCAGGAACTGAACATGTAGTGCGCCAAAAAAATTACTGGCAGAAGGACTACAGGCGTTATGGGAATTGGCTGAGCTTCCAGAAATCATTTTGATTCGGTCAGCATTTATTCTGATCACTCCGTTCTTGTCTACATTGATTGTCTCGATACTCGATGAGCAGGCAATATTTCTGCTAATCACTCCCTGCTAATTTCATAGTTTAGCTCTTGCTGCCAGTTAACCGTCTTCTCCATCAGTTTACTGTCGTCTAAATTCCTCCCGCTTGTCCCCACGTTATAGCCACTCATCATCTGCGTCTTTCTATTTTAAAACCAAACGACTATTCACACTATTTCAAGAATTGCTTAACATGACACTGACTAAGACATTTGACATAATATCACAGGTGCGAAATTCAAGCCCTCGTAAATCATTTGATTTAGAACCCAGCCGTCAGCCCCTGTCCATCCTGTTTGGGACTCTCTAAATTTCCCCCACTGGGCAGCAAAGAAGTTGATTTTGTGGGGGAGGACAGATAATCAGTGATAGGATTTACATTATTCGCAGGAAAGTTACATGAGCTGGTCACTGATCTGGCCTGAACCCACAGTATGGCTTCACATGACACAAAGATTGCCTTCTTAGGAGTCAACGGAATTACTTCTTTCACTGGAATGTTAATTTACTAAACCTCTGCATTATTAAAAAATCCTTCTGAAAATGGCTACCTTCTGAATCTACTTTAAAAACCACACCGTAGCTAGTCACATGTCCATTAAGATCAGCCATCTTAAGAAAATAGACTTTGATCCTCAGCATTTAACCCCTCAAGTTATCCAGAAGAAGAGGTGTATTAGCTACAAAAAAAGGGGTAAATCCTCTAAAGGTAGTTGTATAACACCCTAGATCAACAAACTGCTATACTATATGGCCAAAATGTGTAACACTTGACCATCACACCTATATGAGCTTGTTGGATATCACATTCCAAAATCATGGACAATAATATGGATTTGACCCCACTTCATGGCTCTACCAGCCCCAGCTTGCCATAAGATTTTGGAGTGAGTTTGGGAATTTGTCCTCATTCATCCAAAATAGCATTTGTGAGGTCAGGTACTGATGTTGGATGAGATAACCTGCTGACTATTAGCCTTCTGACAAATCCTAAAGGTGTTCAGTAGGGTTTAGGCAAGGTCTCTGTGCAGGACATTCAAGTTCCTCCACATCAAACTCATCAAACCCATGTCTTTATGGGGCTGTTCCTACAAGGCTGGAAGCACACAATTGTCTAAAATGTCTTTGTATGTTAGATCATTAACAGAAGCCTTCACTTGAAACACCTGATATTTATATAT